GGATCATTTGAGGCCCAGGGAAAGCCGGAAAGATGTGACCATCTTCAGAAGTCACTTGTGTTCCTATAAAATACCATCTCTTCTTTATCATCAATGATTCCAGATTGTTCCATGGCACTAGAAAAGAGAACACTGGGATGATGATGTAAATTGAAGGTAGAGAATTTGCCTGCCATACACAAGATCCTGGGTTTGATCCCTAGTACTACAAATAAGAATAGTAGGCCGGGCAGTGGTGGCACACACCTTTAATCCCAGAACTCTCTGAGTTCAAGGCCAGCCTGGGTCTACAGACAACACAGAGGAACCCTATCTCAAAAAAAAAAAAAATCATAAAATATTACTAAGGGCCCGGCGTTGGTGGCGCACGCCTTTAATCCCAGCACTTGGGAGGCAGAGGCAGGCGGATCTCTGAGTTCGAGGCCAGCCTGGTCTACAGAGTGAGTTCCAGGACAGCCTCCAAAGCCACAGAGAAACCTTGTCTCGAAAAAACAAAAACAAAAAAAAAATATTACTAAGGATAATTGAACACTCCTCAGTCTTTCCTAAAACGATTGGATGTCCTGATTGGATTGTCTTCTCACTCCTACATGCACAATGGCGCACACACCTTTGTCCACACACTAACGATAATGATAAAGGCTAAGGTAGAAAGCGGGTTAGGAAGACACCCATCGTCACCTTCTGGCCTTCAGCTTGCACACACAACCCACACAAACTCTTCTTCAATTTCTCTTCCTCTTGAGGTCTCCCTGTTAGGGCATCCCAGCACGCTTCGTGTGTGTTTTCCCTAGTGGAGTTACATCCTCTATTCTTCCTTGTTTTGCACAAGCTTTTGTATGTGGAATTGCCTACCTTCATTGCCATGTCAGAACATCCTCTGAAGCCGTGTGCATTGTTGAACGCAGAGCTGATAGGCACAGGAAGCTCATCTGTTCCCTGACCACACCCATCATTTGTCTAAGCATGTATTCTTTATCATCTTACCTCAGTCTCGTAAGTATTTGACCTCCTTCCTCCTTGATGACTAACCAGGGATAGGTGCCTCCTGCATGCAGGGACACTTCTCAAACATGTTCTAGTCTCTTGAGTCTCCAGTTTATCCTAGCACCTTGCATTTTAAAGCAGTAACAGCTGAGCATTCCTACGGAGAACTAAGGCTGTCTATGAGCATGTAGGTGCTAGAGACTGTTCTTTTGAAGACCCGTATCCTGATGAGTATCGATTCAAATGCGCTTGTCTCCCATCCTTATTCTTAAAGACAGTGAGAGAAAATGCTGGTCTTCTAAGGTGGAAAGCCATTTGATTTCTGGATATAACATCTCAGTGGGATCATTTTCCATCTCATTTTACCAATTAATGCAACCAGGACATTTAAAGTCAAGATTTTAAAACCATGTATATCCCGTTGAAATTGTTTGGTTGGTTGGTTCCTTGCTTGCTTTTTTTCCCTCAATATATTTTTATTTAAATTAGAAACTTGCCTGCTTCACATGTCAATCCCAGCTCCCTCTCCCACCCTCCTCCCTTGTCCTTCCACTAGCCTCCCCAATCCCCCACCCCATCCCCACATCATTCCCCAGGGAGGGTGAGGCCCTCCTTGTGGGGATCTCCAGAGTCTGTCATTTCATCTAGGGCAGGACTGAGGCCCTTCCCCATATATCCAGGCTGAGAGAGTATCCCTCCATGTGGAATGGGCTCCCAAAGTTCATTTGTATACCATGGTAACTACTGATCTACTACCTGAGGCCTAGAGATTGCCGAGGCCTCCTCACTGAAACTACATTCATGGAGTCTGGGTCAGTCCCCTGTTGGCCTCTCAGCCATCAGTCTGGGATTCAAGATCTCCCCCTTGTCCAGTCAGCTGTCTTTGTGGGTTTCACCAGCACGGTTTGACCAGTTTGCTCATTACTTCTCCCTCTCTGTCACTGGGTTCCAGGAGTTCAGCTCAGTGTTTCGCTGTGGGTGTCTGCCTCTGCTTCCATCAGTCACTGGAGGAAGGTTCTAGGATGGCACATAAGGTAGTCATCAATCTTATCATCAGGGAGGGGCTATTAACAATAGTCTCTCCACTATTGTTTAGTTTGCTAGTTAGTGTTTTCCTTGTAGATCTCTGGAAATCTCACTAGTGTCAGCTCTCTCCTCAAACCTATAATGACTCCAACTATTATGGTATCTCTTACCCTGCTCTCCTCTATTCTTACCCAACTCAACCTTCCTGCTCCCCCATGTCTTCTTCTCCTCTCCCTTTATCCCCCTCTCTTTTTGGTTGGTTGGTTTTTTATTTTTTATGTATTTTTTATTTTTTGGCCTAGCCATCAAAATACAAGATTATGTTTATAGTTTATTTAAATTTTTTAGTTTATTTTTGTGTGTGTGCACACATGCACGCACATACATATGCCATGTCTTTTTTTTTTTTTTTTTTTTTGTCCGAAGCAGGGTTTTTCTGTGTAGCCACGGCTGTCCTGAAACTCTTTCTGTAACCCACGCTGGCCTCTGAACTCCAAGGTCTGCCTCCCAAGTGCTAGGATTAAAGGTGGGTACCACCACTCCTGACCGAATAAAAAAATGATTTTGAGCTCCTGAACCTCCTGCCCCCACCTCCCAAGTGTTGGGATGCCCTGCCACACCCTGGCTACTGGCAATTATCTGTAGTGAGAATAAAAGTGACATATGACTAACCACCACAGAATGTGACGCAGTTGCACATGAGCCGTGAGTTTTTCTCCCTGGAAAAGGGAGTGAATGACCACAGGCCTCCCACATGGCCCAGCTGTCATGTCCCTGGGTGAGCTGGTCTAGATGGCATGCTGTCCTGCTCTGTGAATGAATACTGCAACCCCGGGCTTCGCTACACCGAGCCAGGCACAGCCCTTGAGATTCCTGTGAGGTCAGCACCTGTCCGTTAGGGTTTAGGAAGTGAGAGGTACACGGGAAGAAGATACAGTGATGCTTACCGCCTGCCTGAGGCTGTAGCTTAGGAGCAGAGAGCTTCCTTGGCATGTGCAGAGCCCCACGGTCAGTCCCTGGCACTCTGGGGAAAGGGAACTAAAAGTGAAGCAAACGCCATCCCATAATGTTATTTCTAGCTCCGGCAGGGAACTGGTAATAATAGCCAATCGTGGACAAACAGTTGTAGGAGACGGACCTTTGCCTTTGTGAGTAACCTCATCTCACTTTCATGAGCCAGAAGCAGCTGTCCAGCAGGGGTTCAAAAGGCCAAGCAAGCTGGAGGGACACTGCAGGCGTGTGCAGAAGCTGTAATCAGCCAGCTTTGCCATCGAAAATTCAATAAAGTAGCCCATGCTCTTAATCCCAAGTGAATAGAATCCCCAGCAAAAAAAATTCTTACTAGCCTGGCAGTGGTGGCGCACGCCTTTAATCCCAGCACTTGGGAGGCAGAGGCAGGCGGATCTCTGTGAGTTCCAGGCCAGCTTGGTCTACAAAGAGAGTTCCAGGACAGCCAAGAATGTTACACACAGAAACCCTGTCTTGAAAAACAAAACAAAACAAAACAAACAACAAAGGTCTTACAAGTGTCCAGCTTGACTTATCTACTTTGTCCAGCCTACAGCAAAGTAGTCTGTACATGATGCTGTACCTCTCAGCACACTCTCTCTCTGTGACAGTGTTCCTCAGCTTCCGCCTCTGATCTACTGCAATGCAGGCTTTGGTCAACTTCATGATCCTGAACTTTTACTTGCTGAGTTTTAAAATAAGGACAGCAGAAGCAGGTTGCTGCCCAAAGACTTGGGAGAGGTGATTACTTCCATGCTTCAGAGCACAGAATTTGTTGTTAGGCCTGTTGGAGAAGTTTGGCATTATCACTTATTCTCCCACTAAAGAAGAAATACTTTGCTTTAGATCGTCCTCCATCCAATAATAAAGCATAACTTCCATTTTGTTTTTTGAGACAGAGTTTTTCACTCTTTAGCCTAGATTGTCTAAGCTTCTTTAGTGCAGGGCTCAATGTGTAAACTACACCCAGCTCCTTACTGCTAAAGCTCTTTTTATTACATGTGAGTGGCCTGATATCCTACAGCCCTTCTTGTTTTTAAAGATTCATTTATTTTATGTATATGAGTGTCCATCGACTGAATGCCAAAAGAGGACATCAGATACTCTCTAGATGGTTGTGAGCCTCCATGTGGTTGTTGGGAGTTGAACTCAGGACCTCAGGAAGAGAAGTCAGTGCTCTTAACCTCTGAACCATCTTGCCAGCCCTTAGCCATTCTTTTTTTTTTAATTATTATTTTATTATTTTAGTTATCTGTTTGGGGGTATGTGCACATAAGTATAGGTAACTGTAGAGGCCTCAAGAGGGCGCCAGATCCCCTGGAGCTGGAGTTTTCGATGGTTGTGACCTGTCCAGTGTGGTTGTAGCAGATTGACCTCTGAACACCAGCCAGTGCTCCAAGCTGCTAAGCCATTCTTCCGGTCCCTCCAGCCATTCTTGTGCCCTAACCTGCAACCACAGTGAACTGTCCAGAGCCTTCATCCCTTGTTTTCCCCACCCCAGAGTCTCTTCTAGGTCATCCTCTGAGATACCGCTCCCACGTCCCTTCTCTGGATTCCCTTCCTAGTCCCCCTGTGATGGCTCCTCTGGACCCTTGGAACTGCGCCTGCCTCAGTCACTTTGTACTGCCGCCATTTTCTTCCCAGTCTAGCACCTTTGCTTGCTGACACAAAAACCAGAAAATCAAAAATGACCGCGTCTTCATTTCCTCATGACTCTGGTGCTTAGCGCATACTTGGTGCCCGGCAAACTTGATGGACGTATTGACTGAGTTTGAGCAGAAGGACTGTGTGTGCTCAGTCATTTTATGGTAACTAATGGAAGTTGTGGATGGTTCTTATTTGTTTAAATCTCATTCAGTTCTTTGCGATGAGGGCTGCTCGTGTCAAATATTTGTTTACTCTGGCTCATCTATAGAACAGACTTCAGGTGAGTCTTGAGAGATGTAATCTTGCCTTTCTGTTGTTCGTTTCTTCTCCAGGTTGTAGCTGCAGGCATTCCTTGCCGTAACTTTTAAATTATATTTGGAAAGAAACTGGCCAAAGGGGGCAAAAATGATAAAGTTCTTCCTTATGGTAAACAAACAAGGGCAGACGCGACTGTCGAAGTACTATGAGCACGTGGAGATCAGTAAACGCACTCTTCTGGAAACGGAGGTCATCAAGAGCTGTCTGTCTCGGTCCAGCGAACAGGCAAGTGTCTGCGGCTCTTCGTCCTCTCCGTAGGCGGCTCTGTCTTCACAGGCTGGCCAGGTCTCACTTCCATCTTCTCTGAGCTGCATTCCTTCAAGGGCTGACAAGGACAAAAAGGCATGAAGAGAAAGGAAGACAAAAGGCTCTTAACCGTCCCTGTAAGAATAACAAAAGGCAAACCAGGGAAGTCCGGGGCTTTTATTTAGGATGCTTGTAGACATAATCTTTTTTTGTTCTTATGAATTCAGCCCTTGGAACTCACCACAGGGTCTGAGGTTGGCTGGTGGCTTTCTGTAAACCAAAACAGGAAGGTCAGATGACTGGCATGACAGCGAAAACTCAAGACCCATATGGTGCCACAGGATAATAATATGATTTCCATGTGGATAATAATTCTTTTCTGCTTACCATCTTTTGTAAATATACAACCAAAGTAATACCAGAGCTAGTGATTTAAAAACAAACTTAGTTTGAACTTTTTTTTTTAATTATGTAGACAAGGGAAATGGAAGTTCATACAGAAAAACAAATCTGGAGGCTAAATATATTCGTTAGCATACTAAAGAATGGTTTTGTGGTGCTGGGGTTTCTACACAGAGCCTCATGTGCTCAGTAAACGCATGCTTTACTGCTCTGCAACTCTGCAGCCCATTTTAGTAAACACATGCTTTACTGCTCTGCAACTCTGCAGCCCATTTTAGTAAACACATGCTTTACTGCTCTGCAACTCTGCAGCCCATTTTAGTAAACACATGCTTTACTGCTCTGCAACTCTGCAGCCCATTTTAGTAAACACATGCTTTACTGCTCTGCAACTCTGCAGCCCATTTTAGTAAACACATGCTTTACTGCTCTGCAACTCTGCAGCCCGTTTTAGTAAACGCATGCTTTACTGCTCTGCAACTCTGCAGCCTATTTTAGAGAACTAAGTTCATACAGCTAAGTCTAGGACAGCCAAGGCTACACAAAGGAAAAAAATGAAAAGTCCATTTTTGTAAAGAAATTAGATAATTTATTTGCTGGGCCTTTAATCCCAGCTCTTGGGCGGCAGAAACACACCAGTTTCTATGTGAGTTCAAGACCAGCCTGGTCTACAGATCGAGGTCCAGGCAGGCTCCAAAGCTACAGAGAAACCTTGTCTTGAAAAGCCAAAAACAAACAGAAAAAACAGAACTTAAAGAATTTATTTAGTATAAGCCCTAATTGTCAAATCCATTAGAAAGCATTGGACAACTGTTACAAAGTCAGAATCGCCCATTTCTCCTCCGTTCTGCATCTCACCACCTTTGAGAGGCTGCCGGTGGGAGCAGCAGCTGTCACAACATACTGAGTTGCATCAACACTAAGAAGTTGCATGTTACAAGCTTGTTTCCTTGACTTCAAAATCAGTTTTCTAGTTGCAATCTCTCTGGTTCCTCTTTGAATTACTACTTTGGCCTCCTGTGGGCACTCGCTACTGGATGGAAATAGGAACTATTAAGAACGTGTGTCTGTCACCACATGTGGGAAATACATGAGAGACATGCCTGTTGGCATCTCCCCACAGTCCACAAGCCTGCCATAATTTAAATGGCATTTCTGCCAGATATTTGCCTTTTGGAATACAGATATTGGTAGATTTTGGGGGGTACTCTAAAATTATTTTTACTTTAAAAAGAAACCACTGGACTTTTGGCATCATGATACCATACCAGAGTATCATAATGTTGCCTTAGTTTAATTCTGTTCACAGATGTGCTTGGTTTTTGTTTTGTTATGTCAGAAATCCTTGAGAAACTGCAAACTGTAAGTCATTTGTGGTGCCCTATACCTGTAACCCCAGCACTCAGGAGGATTGTGAGATAAAGGCCAGCCTGAGATACAGAACAAATACTAGGCTAGCATGGGCTGTAAGATTCTGTGTCAAAACTAAACAAAATAGCTTGAGTCTGGAGACATGGCTCATGGTTAAGAGCACCTGCCGCTCATGCAGAGGACCAGGGTTCAGTTCCCATCACCATGCGACGGCCCATGACCATCCTGACTACAGGGATCCAATGCTCTCTTCTGGCTTCTGAAGGCTCTCACACACATGTGGTACACGTACATAGGTACATACATACATACATATATACATACATACAGGCAGACACACACACATAATAGAAGTAAATAACTATTTTTTAAACATGGAAAATCGTCAGTTCTTTCAAATATGTGTGTTTCCTTGAAAGGTCCGACTGGCACTGGCCTTCCAGTGAGCCAGAAGCCACAGCGTGGTCCTGTACTGCCTATCTCTATCCTAGTTATTTTATTGTATTTTTAAGTTTTTGAACATTCAGGATGCTTGCCTCAGCCTCCCCAGTGCTGCCATCACTGGCCTGTGCCACCTGACTTAATTTTATTTTGTATTATGTATTTATATTTGCTTTTTACATTTAAAGCAGGTCCACATTCTGGAGCCTGGGCTGTCCATAAATTTGAGATACCCCTGTTTCAGCCTTGGATTAAAGGCATGAGCCACCATGCTTGGCTCTATCTTAATTTTGTATTAAACCCTGAAATTCCTCCATGTTATATAGACTGCCAAGAACCATCCCCACGGAGGGATTTCCATAGTCAAAATGTGCAGCTTCATTTCCAGGTACATTGGGTCCCCAGGAACAATGTATCCTGCAGCAAAAAGCCACTAAGTTCACGCCCAGTCACATTTGGACAAGCACACCTTGACATTGAAAACTTAACACTGCACCTTAAGCTTTCAGTCTACCCAGGGACTTCCCATAATCCTTTCTACAGAGGCTGAAGGAGACAGATGAATACGAAAATATTTGTTTTAGCTACAGGTCAGTAGTAGTAAGCTAGTTATTAATTCATAAGAAGCAGCATTTACAGTGGAAAATCTTGTCTAGCATCTGTTGTGCAAAGGCGACCATTACATAATTTATAAAATAATCTACACTGGTTCTTTTCATGACCAGGAAAAAGAAGTTACATATAGGTAGATGATGGATGGATGACAGGAGAAAAGACTGCTTGAGCTGACTTCTCTGTGACTGTTCAATAGACCAGAGCTGAGCAGATGAACCGGCTTCCCAGGACCTCGTGGAGAGGTGGAAAGGCAACCATCCTTGCCTTTGTGGTCTCCACAGCAAAGCTCTTTCAAATGCTAATTAATAATTACTCATTAGCTAGCGTTGCTTGCTCAGCACCTCAGGGAGCCAAGAAATGGAAATTTTAAAAAAAGGAACAGGGTAACCCATGCGATCACTGATCACTGACTCATCACTGTGTCTTTTCCAAAGACTGCTTCTCTTCCTAGAGATGCTCCTGAGTAACCAACCCACTGAGCGCTGTCAGAAGCCTGCAAAGGCTGTTTAACATTTTAATGTCTAAATTTCTAGGCATGTGTTGGCAGATACTCAAATGTAGCCTAGGAATTATGTGCGCTGTTCAAAGAAACCTCTGCCGACCAGACATTAATGTCTACCTGTGTTTCATCTAGTGCTCGTTCGTTGAATATAAGGATTTTAAACTGATCTATCGGCAATATGCAGCTCTCTTCATTGTGGTTGGAGTTAACGACAATGAGGTAAGATCGCCCGTGTACGATTCGAGACTTTTATTCTCCTTGAGTTTAAGTTTCTTTTCTGCTTGCTCCCCAAGAACTAGTAAGCCTCTTTTAGGGTATCTGGGCCTCAAGTGAGGCTGGAGAACTGGATAAAACAAAAACACCATAGATGCTTCTTGAACTAGATGAACAACTTACATCAGAGAGGATAAAACTACAAAACACTTCCCTTTTCATGTGTGTGGTTGTTGGTGTTGTTTTTTGGCTTTTTGTTTTGTTTGTTTGAGTTTTTTTATTTTGTTACTGCTTATTTATTTAAAGTCAGTCTCAGTGTGAGCCTTGGATAACCTGAAACTTTATGAAGAGCAGACGTCCTGGAACTCATACAGATCTGACTGGCTCTGCCTCCCAAGTGATGGACTCACTACACCCAGCTGTTTTATTACATTGTATTTATTTGTGCCAGAGTATGGTATGGATGTCAGAGAACAACCTGCAAGAGTTGATTCTCTCCCTTCCCCACCAGCCACCTTGCTTGTCCTTTCTTGTGTGTGGTTTGGCTCCATTTTATTTTGCTTTATTTTGTTTTGTTGTGGCAGCCTCTGGCTATGCTCCCCAGGCCGGTGTCATAACTGTAGGCTCAAGCAGTCTTCCCAGTTCAGCCTGCAAAGCTGCTGGAACTACACAGGGACTACCGTGCCTAACCACAACTCCTTCTGGATCATAAGCAATCCTGATGCCCTCCTCTTGCCCTGTTTCACATGAGGCAGCACAGGTGCCTGTCTATCAAAACATCCAACTTGGACTAGGACTTGGGACTCAGTGAATTAAGCACTTGTCATCTAAGTGTGAAAACCAGGGGTGTGGATCTCCAAAACCCACATACAACCTGAGCAGGCATAGGGGCCACCTGTAATGTTAGCACACAAGAGACAGCGATGGTATCCTGGAGGCCAGCCGATCCTACCTCAATAAATAAAGTGGAAAGTAACTGAGGAAGACATCAGAAGTCAACTTTGGGCACGCACGCACACACACACACACACACACACAGATGTGCCCATACACATAACAAATGTGTATACACATGAACATACTGCACGCATGTAGAAAAAAAGACCTAGCTGACATATCAGAAGAAACAGCAAAATATAAGCATGACTGTGCTGTGCTTATATCTCAGGTGAGGCTCACTTTGTTAGGGAGTCCTTCCAGCACCTATAGTCATGGAGTCCATGGAAAGGGTTGCATATCTAAAAGCCTTTGAAATCTCAGTGGTCTGTTTTTATCCATGCATCACTTGAAGTGATTTCTTCATCTTCACAGCTACAAAGTGACAATCTTGTAGAACCTGGGAGATTGCTGTAGCTGGTTGGTTAAGGCCATGAGTGGAGCTCATACCTCTAATCTGTGCTCTGAAGTTTCAGTGTGGCTTGATTCATCGTGTCTACAAAAGTCTTAGTGGTTAAAGGGTTCTTATATTTCTTTCACTGATAAGCACCTTTACTTTTCTTTTCCTTTCCTTCCCTGTTTTAAGACTGTCTCATGTAGACCAGGCTGCTGGGATCACAGGCATGCAACTACACCCAGATCATCATGTGCTGCTGGGGGCTAAACCCAGGGCTTCATTCATACGAGGCAGCATCCCAGACAAGGACTGTACTGAGCTCCATCCTCAGTCCAGTGATATCTTTACATGAGCAGTTTCATGCCCTTTGTGTATCAGGGACTAAGATGCTGCTTTACTTACACATCTGCACTGAACCATGGGCTCTAAGACCTTGGAACCACTGGACTTGTTTTTTTAACTAGGGGTTCAATGAAATTAATTATACACTTTTTATTTCAGAATGAGATGGCTGTTTATGAATTCATACACAATTTTGTGGAAGTTTTGGATGAGTACTTCAGCCGAGTGGTAAGTCTAATTGCTAAACAATGGTTTTAACCAAGTTTTCCAGAAATTGAGCCTTCTGGATGTATGTCAGTATTGTGTGTTCATATAATTAACATGTTAAATCTGAAATAAATGGTGCTGGATTACCATTCCTTCTTGCTCATCATTAGGTATTACAAATCCATATTACGTTAGTTCTCCATGAAGAGGACTGTTTTAGTTTGTGTCTAATGCTGTGGTAAACACAAAATAATTTGGGGAGCTTCCAGCGCTCAGGTCACAGTGCATGGAGACAAGAACTGAGTATGAGGCCATGGAGGAATGCTGCTAACTGGCTTGCTCCCCTTGGCTTGCCCAGCCTGCTTTCTTATGGTTCCCAGAACCACAAGGGTGGTGTGCACATGTACTTACACACACACACACACACACACACACACACACACACACACACACACACCTCTGAGGTGGGCACTTCCGCAGCAATCATCAATCAAGAAAATGTATCAAAGGCTTGCTGAAAATGTAAGCATTTTCTCAGTTAAAGTTCCTCTTTCCAGATAATTCTAGCTTATGTCAAGTTGACAAAAACCTAAGCAGCAGAAAGCAAGTCTTAGAAAACCAAGTCCCGGGCTGGAGAGATGGCTCAGAGGTTAAAAGCACTGACTGCTCTTCCAGAGGTCCTGAGTTCAATTCCCAGCATCCACATGGTGGCTCACAACCATCTGTAATGAGATCTGTTGCCCTCTTCTGATATGCAGGCAGAACACTGAATATGTAATAAATAAAATAAGTCTTTAAAAAAAAAGAAAACCAAGTCCCTCTGTGCGTTTTGCTGTCCATCAGGAAATTTTCCATCTAACTTGCTCTTTTTATATTCCCTCTGCTTTCCTTCCTAAGGGAACAGAACCCTTTTTACTTTAAAAGTCATTTCCAGTCAAACAGTGGTGGCACACAACTTTAATCCCAGCACTTGGGAGCAGACGCAGGCACATCTCTGTGAGTTCAAGACAGCCTGGTCTACAGAGTGAGTTCTAGGACAGCCAGGGCTACACAGAAAAACCCCATCTCATAAAACAAAAAAAAATAATTTCCAAGTTGGGCATAGCAGTACACACCTATACAGCCAGCACTTAGGATGTGGGACACAAGGATCAAGAGTTCATGGTTATCCTTGGTTATATAGTAAGTTCAAGACCAGCCTATCTACAAGAAGACTCTTTCTCAAAAGAAGAGGCAGGGCGGGAGGAACACTGGAGAGATGGCTCAGAGGTCGAAAGCACTTGTTCTAGGAGAAGACATGGTTGGTTCCCTGTAACCTGTAGTCTTCCCGCTTCCCGCTGCTGTCTCAGCCCCCAAGTAACACATGAGACACTATATTAATTATGAATCTGTTGGCCATTTGATTTCTTATCAGCTAGCTCTGACTTAATTATTAACCCACAACTGCTAATCTAAGTATTTCCACGTGATCTTCTCTTACCAGAGAAAGGGTCCGGACCTCTTACTCCTCTGATGTCCTACATCGTGTCTGACTCTGCCTCTTTTTCCCAGAATCCTCCTTGACTCCTAGTCCCACCTATCTTGCTTTCCTATTGACCAAATATTGCTTTATTTAATCAACCAATCAGACAAACATACACAGACGGACTTCCCCCATCATCTCCTCTTTTCTGTCTAAATATAAAGAAGTTTTAACATTAACATAGTAAAATATATAACAAGGCAGTTATTAAGCAAGAACTATAAATGCAGTATTTAGTCCATTAACATTTAGCAAGATTTAAAGAAAATATGATCTATCTTTGTGAGTCTAAAGTCTTATATATAGCTTATGTTTTATCATAACTAAGGAGAATTATAATTATAACTAGCTGTCTTCAACTCCATCAAAGACCACAGTTCCCAACACCCACATGGAGGATGCATAGTCATCCATAACTACAGTTTCAGGGGATCTGATGCCCTCTTTTGGCCTCCATGGGCATTAGACACACTTGTAATACACAGACATACATGTAGACAAAACATCTATAACACATAAAATAGAAGAAGAAGAAGAAGAAGAAGAAGAAGTAGTAGTAGTAGTAGTAGTAGTAGTAGTAGTAGTAGTAGTAGAAGAAGAATCATTTCCATCCAAACCTTTTACTTATTGGTCAAAAGTCCCAACTTCACTTTAGGAATATGCTTTCCACGATCCAGTTTTTAAAATGTTATAGCTATATTGAAATATAATTCATATACCATACAATTTTTCATTTAAAGTATATAATCATGTTTTAGTATTTACAGTCTTACAACTATCACCACTGTCATTTTAAGGAAATTACATCATGTGACAGATAAGCATATTTATTCAGTGACATTTCCCCCATAAGCTCTTTCAACCTACTCCAGGCCTTAGATAACCACTAATTTCTGTCTCTAGAGCCTGGCCTAATCTTTATGCTTCCACAGCTTGTCTCTTAGCATGGTGTTTTCAAGGTCCATCAGTGGTGCAACTCTGTCAGTAGTAAATAATGCTCTGTCATATGGACATGCCACATTCTTCAGTCCACTGGTCACTGATAGGTAGGCATTTAGCTTAATTTCAGTCTGGGACTATTATGAGTAGTGCCATGTTTTTGTCACATTTCTGGACAGATAAGATTCTTTTTTTAATTTTAAAAGAAAAAAATCTTGGCATGGCAGCACACGCCTTTAATCCTAGTATTCAGGAGGCAGAGGCAGATGGACCTCTATGAGCTTGAGGCCCAGCCTGATCTGCAGCTGAGTTTCAACCCAGCCAGGGTCACATACTGAGACCGTGTTTCTAAATAAATTGATTGACTAAATGAAATGCTCTTGGCCATAGACCTGGGAGAAAAATTAATTACTAGACTGATACTTTCATATTTAATGCTTTTATTAACTGTCAAGCTGTTTTCCAGTATGGGCATTGTTTAAATTCCTATCATCAGTATGAGTTGTTCTGATTTCTCTATATCCTCACCAAATCTTACCGTTTATTTATTTTTTATTTTTTTCATTTTCTGAGATAGGATCTTACTACGTAGACGAGGCTGGCCTCTAACTCACAGAGGTCAGCCTGCCTCTGCCTCCCAGGCCCTGGCATTAAAGGCAGGCACTGCCATGCCATCCTAGCCAACCTTCTTTGGAAAAATGTCTGTTTAATTCTTTAACTCACTTTTTAATTGCAGTAAAGATTCATTAACAATGAATAGTCTCCTGTTGCTTATGTTTTAGTTGTGTTAGAAAGCCATTAGATTTACCCCCTTGTTTTGTTCCTTCCGTTTTATAATTTTAGTTTCTAAATTTACCCCTGATCCATTTTAAGTAACTTTTTTCTATGTTGTGAATTATAGATTGTCTTGATTCGTTTTGTTGTTATTTTAGTTTGGAGGGACATGTCACTCCCAATTTGGCCTGGAATTCATAATCCCCCTGCCTCTGCTTCCCAAAGACTGGAAATTCAGGCATGCACCACTATGCCTGTCTTTTGCAGTAGACATCCACTTGTCTCAGCAGTTGTTGAAGCAACTGTCCTTTTCCCATCGATGAATATCTTAGCTCCTTACTGTGAAACACTCAATCATAAGTAAGTGTTGAGCCAGGCATGATGGTGCTTGTGTAGGGTGGAGGCAGGAAGACCAGGAGTCAAGGCTGTTAGCTACATAGCAAGTTCAAAGCCAGCTGGGGTTGCATGAGACCCCATCTCAGAAAAAAAATTCTTTCTAAATAGAATGCAAAAGTTTATTTCAGGACTCTCATTTCTATTCCATAGAATATAGCATTGCAAGTATCATACTACCCTGATTAATGAATCTCTGTAGTAAGTTGGAAACACAACAATCTTTTTAAAAATAATTAATGAAGATGGTATGTGATTATCAGCACCAACTACAGCACCTCATGTACCCCATGTTTCCTCACTGAACTTGGGGTCTGATCGATCCTCTTGCCTCTGCCTCCCTAGTGCTGGGACTTAATAAGTGCTGCCACTCTCGGTTCGTACAGCACTGAGGGTTGAGCCCAGGACTTTGTGCATGCTGGGCTTCATATCCCTAAGTTACTGTTCTTCGAGTTGGTTTATTTCATTCTGAAGTCATATAAAATTATTAGGAAGGAACTGTTCCACACTGCTTCCTGAGGCTGTGAATGGACACTGCTCTACAATTAGTGATACTGGATGTGCTAATACCAAGAAGGCAAAACTCTATATATCCTGAGATACGGTGGTGCTGTAACACCCAACACGTGATTGGTAGAAAGACAAAAGAGGGTTGGGAGTTCAAGATCTTTCTTGATTACATGGTGAGTTAGAAGCCAGCCTAAATGACACATGCCCTTGTCTCAAAAAGAGCAAAAAATTGTGTCTTTAATACAATTTCTGTGACCTGAGATGAATTTTAGAAGCTCCTCATGGGGAATCAGCTGGGTCTCATTGCCTCAGGGAAGTTTCTCCCCAGAGTCTGGTACCTTGACCAGCAGTATAAACTGGGAACCTGCTAGAAACCCAAGCTCTGGGTCCCGCCCCATGCCACAGGATCAGAAATTCTGCCCGTGTCCCCTCAGTGTGTTTTACCAAGCCTTCCAGTGATTATGACACTTGTTAAAGTTTGGGAGCTAATTTCTTAATGTCTGAGACTTGTGGTCAGTAATTTCCTACTTCAAGAGTCAGAGCTTAGAAGATGGCTGCTGGCTCATGATATGACAGGTCTTCTGTCTCCAAGTGATAGGTGTCCTCCAGGGCTGAGAATGGAGAAGAGACCAGATGATTTCAGAGATTGGACATTCAAGGATAGAAAACAGGAGACTAGCCTTAAATCCATATCTATGTTGATTGCGTAGATAAAGTGTCATAGGTAAGCAATGTCTGTAACCCTTCCATAACACCAGAAATGCTGTCAGCCTGCCAACTGCTGTGGGCAGCTCTGAGCATTTGCAGTGTGCTTGGTGTGACTAAGAAATTCAAACATTACTGAATTATAAGGAGTCTCAATGTAAGTTCCACATTTAGCTGGCGGTAGCCATATTACCAGCACAGCCTTGGCACCTGCTCCCCCAGGAGACACCCCCGTGTTACAGTAGACTGACTGTTGCAAGGCAGGGTCTGTGATGCCACAGGAAGCCTCTTTCAGGTGACACTCACCCAGGAAGCATATAATTTCCAAAATGGCTTAAAGCAGGAAGAATAAAAGGAGGTCCAGACGCTGTTGCTGCAAGATTTTTAAGTTGCGGTTATATCCAGTTACTGAAAATAAACAGCACATGCCAAATTATAGCTGTAATTTTAGGGAGAGAGTCTGTGGCTGCATGAACCACAGAATTCAAGACAATGCCAGGTGACAGTGCAGGGCTTGTGCTGGACCGGGGATGACCCTGTTTAGGATCAAACCAGAGCAGAAAGACAGTGAAAGGGAAGACCCCGGGGAAGAAGAGGACCCGACCCTCACCAGAGGCGCCCTGCCAGCTAGGGTTCATATTTAGATTTACAAGTGTTAAGCAGCCTTTCTGAGCTATTTTTATCCTCGAGACTTTCATCATCTTAAATGTGGAAATGGATTTCACGCTGATGCACCAAGAACAGCATCTCAGCATCATATCTCCAAACTTGTTAGTTTCTGGAGGTTCCCAGGGAAAGAGGCAGCGGGGTTTCCTGTCCCGCCCTTGACACACTGAAGCCCCATCACATATGATCTCATTTCCACTTCCTGTTCCCTCTGTGTAACTACTTTATTGACAACAATAAGTACAGCTAGCAGGGGAAAAGAGGATGGATCTGTGGTACCCTCCACTTGTGAAGACTCAGACTGCACACCGCCAGAGTGAAGCCTCATGTGGACTCTGAGGGACCTGTAACAAGTAACCGAGAGGCCCGCTCTGTGAACAAAGAGCCCTCTCTGTGACCGGATATTGAGAACGGGCAGGCTATGCATGGGAGATATTTCTATACCCTCACCACAATTTTACTGTGAACCTGAAAGTGCTGTACAAATAGGATGTTTTCAGAATAGGCGGAAGATCATCAGTTGGCTGTCGGTTAGGGACATCTGCCCTTTAGACTTATCACACCCACCTGTAACTTTGGAACGGGACATCTCTATGTACTTCTGTCCATAGGATAACCTTGACAGTGCAGGGAGATGGGTTCTAGGCTCTGCCACACCCTTGTGGGTACCAGATCCCTACAAGTTTAAGTGCTTATGTACAGTAGTTGGTATTTGCATATAGCCTACATACACTTAACTTAACTTAACTCATCTAAGTTATTGATAGCACCTAGCACACAGTAAACGCTATATGAGTACTTGCACCTAAGAAATCATGACAGAGGAAAAAGTACTTATGTTCATTACAAGCAGTTTGTTCCAAGTATCTCACAGAGTACTTTGTTGAATTAATGGATACAGAATCCATGCACACAAAGGACTAAACTACATACCACTTTTTAACATTTATTATTATTGTTGTTTTGTTTTTCAAGACAAGGTTTCTCTGTGTAACAGCTCTGGCTGTCCTGGAACTTACTTTGTGGACCAGGCTGACCTCAAACTCACTGAGATCCACCTGCCTCTGCCTCCCCTATGCTGCGATTGAAGGCACGCACCACCACCACCTGACAATATTATTTTAGTTTTTGTGTTATAGAGATCAACCCTAGGGCATTAAAAATGCCAGGTGTGTGCTGTACCTCTGAGATGAACCCTCAAGCTTATATAGCATTAATTAGACATCTACATCACCATTTGTTGATGGCTATAATCTACTACTTAACTAACCCCCTTGATAGGTTCTTGGATTGTTATCAGGAGTTTGCTATTGATAACTCTAACTATCCTGTCACTGTTCCCTGCTCTTAAGATAAGCTTCTACAAGTCAATCAGAGAAGGCATATGGCTGAGGCTTCTTATATGCGTATCAGATTACCCACCAGCTACAAAAGTTGAGTTAGTTTATGATTTCCCATACTTACTTTTTGTTTGTTTTTGTTTGGGTTGGTGTTTTGAGACAGACTTTTACTCTGTTAGCCCAGGCAGACCTGAGTTTGTGGCAATCCTCCTGCCTCAGCTCCCGAGGATTACAGTCATGAGCCACCAAACTCAGCTCTCCCTCTACTTTCTGACCTCAAAAATCCGTCTACCCTGCAACTTTCTTTTCCATTCCCCTTTTCATCCCGCTTTCCAGCTCAAGGCTGCCACTCCAGCAGGCGTAGGAGTCACACTCGCTACGAGGCTTGGAGGCAGAGCAGTCCCTGTCTGGGATCATCTTCTAACCGTGCATTTTTGGTTTTCTTTTTCAGAGTGAACTAGACGTATCCTTTTCAGAACATCTTCCCGTGGCATGTGGCAAAGCACACTCTAGGTATAATCACATAAGCGCCGTCACGCAGGAGGGTGAGTTAGCAGACTCCAGGACACTAATCACCTGTGACCCTGCCATGAATCACAGGCACACCCACCCAGCCTCCTCTTTCAGACACAGCATTTTGTAAGATCCCTTTTTCTTTATCACCAAACAAAGCAATGAGGTGACAGTACTCAAAAGTAATTATTAAATGGGGCTGGAGATATGGCTCAGGGGTTAGGAGCACTGGCCACTCTCCCAGAGGTCCCAGGCTCAATCCCCAGCACCCACATGGCAGCTCACATCTGTCTGTAACTCCAGTTCCAGTTGGCCAGACACTCTCACACAGACACATGTGCAGGCAAAACATCCGTGCACATAAAATTAAGAACATATATTTGTTTAGAAAGTAACTGTTATATATTAGTTTAACGTCCACATGGCAGATGGTTTTGTTCTAAACGTGTCACATGGGAAGAGTACTTTTCTCGGGGAGACTGACCTTTCTGGGTAAATCCCCAGGATTTCCTCATGAGATCAAGGTGGCATTCTGGGGGACAACCTGGAGGGTTAAAGATATTGCCTGGCTTATGTTCATGTCCTTTTATACCAGAAAAAGTTCTTTTCTTTCTCTCTTTAAATCAAACTGTCTGGGACGGGGATGCAGGCCTAGCATGTGGTCATGTACTCAGTCTCGACCGCTTACAACAGCACAGCATGCCCAGGACCACAGGTGTGGCCCGGCACTCACCAGGCGTTTTAGAAGTATACTATGTTGATGCCTAAGATTATTTTTCTTCAAAGGCCTGCCTGCTTTGGGGCTGGAGAAATGGCTCTGTGGTTAAGATACGTATTGCTCTTGTGGCAACCTGAGTTGACTTCTAGCTTCCACACCAGACAGCTCCCAAATGCCTAGCACAGCACTTCCGGGTTTTCCAGTGACTTGTCTGGACTCCTCAGGTTCCCCAACACTCTACACATAAACAGGCTGGACACAGTGGCACACAAATCCCAGCACTAAGGAGGCAGAGGCAGGCAGATCTCTGTGAGTTCCAGGCCAGCCTGGTCTACAGAGTGAGTTCTAGGTCAGGCAGTGCTACATGGCGAAACACTGTCTGAAAAGAAATTAAAAATAGTAAACCCGGCCGGGCGTTGGTGGCGCACGCCTTTAATCCCAGCGCTTGGGAGGCAGAGGCAGGCGGATCTCTGTGAGTTCGAGGCCAGGCTGGACCGATAGCCTCCGAAACAGTACAGAAACCCTGTCTCGTAAAACCAAAAAAAAAAAAAAAAAAAAAATAGTAAACCCACCCATGCACATACACATAAAGTAAAACCAAAATAAATGTTTTATTAGTGATTCTGCCTATCACTTGGAAGTGACTGACATCTTTTTGAAAACATCAAGCTTAGCTCTAAAATAATTACAGCTATTTATGTGTAATTCTTGGAGGGATACATGAGTCACAACATGTTTGTGTGTGTATGCGCAGGGTGTACACAGTAGGTGCACTGTGCAGAGTCAGGGTGTACACAGTAGGTGCACTGTGCAGAGTCAGGGTGTACACAGTAGGTGTACTGTGCAGAGTCAGGGTGTACACAGTAGGTGCACTGTGCAGAGTCAGGGTGTACACAGTAGGTGCACTGTGCAGAGTCAGGGTGTACACAGTAGGTGCACTGTGCAGAGTCAGGGTGTTTGCATCTACACACTGTTCTGGAGCACACTCTTGCCTGTTGGGAGTCATAAAATTTGAGGAAAGGTGATTGCCCTCTAGTGGCGAGTGACCTAAATCCTTTGGACCTAAGAGATCTAAGACTACACAGTGTGTGTGACATTTTTGTAATGACCATTTTATGTATGGAGGTGTTCTGTGTCACGTATGTCTGTGCCTGGTGCTCTTGGGGGCCAGAAGAGGAGGGTCAGGTCCCCTGAACTAGTGTTAGAGGCACCGGATGGGTGCTGGGAATTGAACCCAGATCTACAAGAAGAGCAGCCGTGCTCTTAACCACAGAGCCCTGTGATTCTGTTTTAATTAGGCCACTTAAAGCGGCTCAAAATAAATCTGCTTCTAATTGGACAGGAGAGTAAAAAAGCATTTTTAAACAAATATTTTCAAAGTCATGAGAAAGGCAAGAGCTAGCAGCCACTGCTGGAGATAAAAACTCAAGATGCACTTCTGGCCTTGCCACTGACTGCCGGTTGTGTTGAGCAGACAGTTTATTTCGGAGGGAGAAGTGACTAGAGGAGCTTAAGCGTCCTCTCAGCCTGGATCTTGCCATGGTTCTGGGAAAGCTAACACCTGAGGAAGGGCTTCTTCCATGTCCAGCTGTCCAAGAGTGACGTGAGGCAGCAGGGTGATGGAGTAGCTTATGCTAACCAGCGCTTAGTGCAGAGAGGGCTGTGCTTGTCTCTGCAGACTGCGGATTTCTAGTTGCGACACCGAGCCCCACGGTTCATGTTTGTCTCCTCCTCTACCTTTTTGCTGTTGTGTGGGGTGCGCCACACCACCCACCAGGTCACGTGATCTCTTTTCACCTTTCCTTCCTCACTGTGCTGCCTACTGCCGTCCAGGAAACTCTCTTACAATGTAACACTTGAACCAGCCCAAAACAGGCAATTTAAAACAAGGCTCACTTGCTCACACATGGTTCTCTTCAGCCATCTGCCCCGAGGACTTCCGCGAAGAATGCTGTCGCAGGGAACTGGCAGTCTGTGGAGGTTCTACCGTAGTTCCTGCCTTCCACGGGGAGAACAGCACACGTGCAGCCAGAGAAGCTGCAAGGGCCGAGACTGCTTCAAGGAATTTCTCTAGAGCCACGAGGTTGAAACAGCGCTCGCCACACTTGCCACCCGGTTCTCCCAACACTCAGAGCCCACAGTCTTTGGAGTGCAGAGTAAAAGAAAGCCTTCCTGGGCTGGGCAGGGGTAGTGCACGCCCTTAATCCCAGCACTCGGGAAGCAGAGGCAGGCGGATCTCTGTGAGCTTGATGCCAGCCTGGTCTACAGAGCGAGTTCCAGGACAGCCAGGGCTGTTACACAGCAAAACCCGTTTTTTTTTTTTTTTTTTTTTTTTTGGTTTGGTTTTTTTTGTTGTTGTTGTTGTTTGTTTTTTCGAGACAGGGTTTCTCTGTGGCTTTGGAGGCTGTCCTGGAACTCACTTTGTAGACCAGGCTGGCCTCGAACTCACAGAGATCCACCTGCCTCTGCCTCCCGAGTGCTGGGATTAAAGGCATGTGCCACCAACGCCCGGCTAAAACCCTGTCTTGAAAAACCAAAAAAGTTTAAAAAGCCTTTCTGGTGTGTCCACAGAGCATCTGTGTGCCAACAGAAGAGGGGTCAGAGCCTCGGGAAGTTCTCAAGAAGCCCCTGGCAAAGCCAACTCAGATAATTGCATTTCCCTCCTATAACTACTCCCACCTGAGACTTACAAAACCAGACAGATGGGATTTAAACAGAAACGACCCAAGCAGGCAAAAGCAGTTGAGGAATTCTGGCTTGTTGAAACCCTTCATCCCAGTATGTGGAACCCCTTGATGCAGAGGTGCCCGGTATGCAAACTGCCCATTTAGACTGAGCACCTCAGTGATGTAAGTCACCCCCATGGGGATCCTACCCTCCCTAACCAGGCTGCTGCTGAGAAGGCCTATTTCCATAGCGATTTTACTACATCATATAACTTGCTGGGTTTACCTACACTATCAAGTTTCATGAAGATTGGTTTTTTTTTAGGCACCAATTGATGAGTTTCCTAAAACATGACTAGCCCTGAACACTTCAGAATTCAGAGGAGCTGTCTCTAGCCCTATCTGCTAAGCAGTCCGGTAATGGCACTGGTGACCAGCACCATGTGAACAAGTGCCAACTCCTCAATCCTTCTTTGCACATAAAGGTATAGAAAACCTCAACCATCATCGTGGTCCCCAGTCCTTAAACAAATGGGGCTGCAGGTATAGATAGTGGCAGACACTTGCCTGGCGGCACAGGGCCTTGGGCTTGATTCCCCAACACCCGGTTTTACTGTATTGAGAATGGGACACAGCAGCACTTTCTCCGCCCTGGGTGATTAAGGGCTCCCTTCAGGGTCCTTCGCTTTTGAGGACCCCATTCTGACTTTCAGCAGCATGCCCTCGGGAGGAGAGGATGCTCACCTGGAGCGCACAGCCTCCCCATCCGCTGTGTGTGCATCGTGCTGAACATACAGAAGGCAGAGGACCACTTTGTAGACTTGGTTCTCCTTCCAGCTTCCCCTGGGCTCCAGAGATGGAACTCAGATGTCAGGCTCAGGGCAAGCTCCTGTGTGCACATAGCCATCCGATAGCCCCGTTTTTCACTTGTTGGTTTTGGAGGCCAAATCTCACGTAGTCCGGGCTGTCCTCAAACTCAATATAGCTGACCCTGAACTCCTGTCCTGCTACTGCCTTGGCCGCCAGCGTTCTTGATTAGCAGCCTGTGTGACCACACAGGGCCACATATGCTCCTTAATTGCCTTCTGGTATCCTGGGTAGCCAGACATCCCAGAGTCTGCTGCTGGACTCTTGGGGGCTCTTCACTCACCCCCTCCCAGGCCTGGAAGCAGGGGCAGGCAACAGATAATAGGAGGGTAGTGGTGCTGCTCATATGCGTACACAGGAAGAAAGCCAGCAGCTGCCTGGTGTCCTCACACTTGTTTCCTCTTATGCTCCCTCCCACACCAACATGAGACAGCCAGAACCCAAAGCTTTGATTTAGAATCCTCTTTAGGGATCAAAGCTTGAGGACACGCTTATCCTGGTCTTGGAAAGATGAAGTCCAGGGCCAGCTTGAGCTACTTAGGGATGGATGGATGGAAGGACAGGTAGACAGTTTTTGGTTTTTGAGACAGGGTTTGTCCATATAGCCCTCATTGTCCTGGAACTCGCTCTGTAGACCAAGCTGGCCTCAAACTCAGAGACTTGCCTGCCTCTGCCTCACTATAATGATGAGTATTTCAGTTTTTATTGTCAGATGTTTGTACAACTGATGAAATAGGCCATGATCTCTGATACTATCATCTATCTGTCTATCTATCTATCTATCTATCTATCTGTCTGTCTATCATCTGTCTATCTATCTATCTATCATCTATCTATCTGTCTATCATCTGTCTATCTATCTATCATCTATCTATCTGTCTATCTATCTGTCTATCATCTATCTATCTGTCTATCATCTGTCTATCTATCATCTATCTGTCTATCATCTATCTATCATCTATCTATCTGTCTATCATCTATCTATCTATCATCTATCTGTCTATCATCTATCTATCTATCTGTCTATCATCTATCTATCTATCATCTATCTGTCTATCATCTATCTATCATCTATCTGTCTATCATCTATCTATCTATCATCTATCTGTCTATCATCTATCTATCTATCTGTCTATCATCTATCTATCTATCATCTATCTGTCTATCATCTATCTATCATCTATCTGTCTATCATCTATCTATCTATCTATCTATCTATCTTCAAAACAGGGTTTCTCTATGAAGCACTGGCTGTCCTGGAACTCACTCTATAAACCTGGCTGGCCTCATACCAAGAAATCTACTTGCTTCTGTATCCTGAGTGCTGGGATTAAAGACATGCACCACCACTGCCCAGCTGATAGTTCTTTAGAACATGATTTTATTTTAGAAGTCTTTAAAGCCCCTTCAGAGCTGCTGTAGGTTTGCAAAGGCACCTGTCTCATGCTTTCCTTATTGCCAAAGCACTGGAGTTGTAAGGAATGACATCAGTGTTGTATGCGGTCTCTGAGTCTGCCACCACCTAGCAGAGCACATCCTAGACGATGACAGCTTGCAGTGACCCTGAACAGTGACCGGCATCACTGGGATTCGTGGACTTGCTAAACTTGAGACCCAGAACCCAGCTCTACTTTCTTCACTAACATCCTAAAAGCCTGTGCCCATTATAGGTACAGAAACCAGCAGAGACCTGCTCTCCACAGGTGCTAATCTCAGCCTGACAGAATGAGAAACTGCAGAGCCATTTGCTCAAACTGGAGAGATAGCAGCCGGGGAAGTAGGCATTGCTCAGGGTTGCCATTGCTGGGAAGACTCGGCTTCCCAATGGCCCAAAGACTTCTGTGTGTGCTCCCAGAAGCTCCACCAGCCAGGGGATCCGCATTCCCCTGAGAAAGACATGGAATGGCATAGATCCAGGAGTCTGCTTCCAGCCTCTTCCGACTCCCACAGCCTTCACACTTTTGCATCTCCTTTGTTTTTGTGGTTGGTTAGCTAGTTAATTTGGGGGGACAGGCTCTTCAGTCTTGGCTGGCCTGGAAATTGCTATGTAATAAAATAAAACATCAAGTGAGAAACATGTTTTAGGAGGCAGAAATTCTTGTGTATGACACATCTAATGTTCCATTCCAGTCTGCCTTCCATAGAAATCCTGCAAGGTTCTTCGGTTTCCAGGTTGAGAAAATGGGATCTGGTAAATGTGCTCCTTGGGAGGTTGTTTGTGGTTTTCGAGGTTGGTCATGTTTAACCCAGCCTGAAGGAAGCTCTCTTCCTAGTCACTTGAATTAATAGACCCATAGTCCAGTTTCTTCTTGCTCCCTCCTGTCCCAAACGTCAGAGCTAAAGTATTTGCATGGGTTTATTGCCTCGAGACTTGGCATTTGTGATACTTTCTGGGCCCACATGCCGCTAATCTTGGCTGCACCCGTGTGTACAAGTTGCTCATACACCAAATCAGATGTGACAGCTGGATTCTTATTTTAAAGGAGTCATGGGGCTTTAGGGGGGCATCAGCTTTCAGGCCTTTGCTTTGCATTGGGATCTGGTCTGGTTTGTTCATGGAGAACTGGGTGATCACTGGGGTTTGAGCCAGACACACAGCCAGGCAGTCATATGGCCACAGTGTAGAATGACCTCTCTCACTAACTCGTGCTTCCAGGAGGTGGGGAAAGTCAGGCTTGCCCAACCTCATCCTTGCAATGTGGGGTGTCAGTGCTTGATAAGATTCAGCCATAAATCCTGATTCGAATTTCAAAACAGCCAGGCAGCTGCTCAAGGCAACACCTGAGCAGTGGTCGTTTATTTGTGGAAGATGGGGCAGTTTGACCAGTGAAGCAATTAAACAGATAAAATTAGGTTTCCTCCTATCTCAAAGAAAGTCGCTAAGGCCTCCACTGCCGTCTGTACCTCCAGAGGGCTCAGGGGTCTTTTTCACTTAGCCACCGTTGCTGTGTGATCCCTTTTTATTTTTGAGAAAGGCTGTGATGTATCCCAGGCAGATCTCTAACTCGACACATAGCCAAAAATGACCTTGAACTTGTGCCCCTCCTGTTCTCACCTCCAAAGAGCCGAGATCACAGGTGTGCCTTGTTTATAGGGTGCTGGGGAATCGAACACAGGACCTCATGCCTGTTAGGCAAGCTAACTGAGCTGTATCCCCAGCCCTCAACTCTTTCTATTAGCCTGGCTGCAAACGCCGGCTGCTGGTTCTGATGAACAGGGTTGAACCAAGTATTCATTCCAGCCCTACTTTGGCCTGGGACATAGCAATCATCTGTATAATTGGAAGACATTATTAATAGGTATATCAGAGCAAAGCTTTTTTTTTTCTGGGTCACTTAAGGACAGTTCCCATCGGTTCATGAAAAAGTTTCTTCTGCTGGCTGGCTATTTGCACAGCACTTAATGAGATGTTAGCAGAGTCTAATGGAAACTGGAAAGTCATTCACAGGTTGTCCCATTCGCGACAGACTTCACTGAGCAAATACAATAGAGACTTTGGACATCAGGAATCTAACAAAATCAGGTTATGGTATGTTTTGTAAAGGTTCATTGTTGCAAACTCACAGCTATGTTTAATCAATCATCCATTTGTTGAATGAAGTTTGTCTTTTTGAAACAGCTGGTTCTTTCTTTTCAAACAGCTCTGCAAAAGCAGAATCTCATGTTTCAAATGTAAACTTAAGAAACATCCACACACACCTTGCTCCTCAGTTAGCACACAGATGAAGGGGTTCTCAGGGAGTATGCCTCTTTCCGGTCCCTCACTGCCCTCTTCCCCTACACAGACTAGCTTTCCAGAAAGTGTTCCACCAAGTTAAGCCTTCATAATCCAAAAGTGTCGGGACGTCCATTTGTGAAACTCACAACTTTGGTCCTTGGGGAGTTTCTAGGCTGCCTCCCTCCTGTAGTCCTTCTTCCTCTGGACTGTTTGTTTCCTGCAGAGAAGGCAGCTGATGGTGCAGGCCGAGAAGGGAGCTCGTGGTCAAGCCCTGGGGCTGAGGGATGGTGTTGACTCGGAGCCTTGGGCTCCTCAGCCCAGCTCTGGCTCTTACCAGTCCTGTGACCACAGGCCTGTTTGCTTCTGGATAAATGAGGATTGTGGAGAAGACCAAGATAGTATATGAATGCATTATCACAGAGCCTTGAGCACAGTGAGCATTCAACATGTTTGTGTTATTACTGAGGTCAGGTGGTTTTCTTAACGAAATGTTACTTGCTGTGTTCTCTGGCACTTAATAGATTCTCACTTCGGTTAACAAAATGTACTGTTCTGGCCGGGCGTTGGTGGCGCACGCCTTTAATCCCAGCACTCGGGAGGCAGAGGCAGGCGGATCTCTGTGAGTTCGAGGCCATCCTGGTCTACAAAGCGAGTTCCAGGACAGCCTCCAAAACAATACAGAGAAACCCTGTCTCGAAAAACCCAAAAACAAAACAAACAAACAAACAAAAACCAAAATGTACTGTTCTGGATTGTGATGTTGCTCAGTGCTAGAGTGCTGACTACTGTGCACAAATACATACATACATGCATGCATACATACATACTCATGTATAACACAATACGTATACACACACAGAGATAATTTAAAGAGCTGATACATTTTAGTGTCTACTTACCTGGCTTAGCCAAGGTGAATCTAGGTATGTACATGTATATGAAGGTAATCTCTACTAAAGATTTAAAAAATAACAAAACTCATGTTTAGGCTTATTTACCAGGAAACTAGCAGGCTAAGCCATGTTACTATTTATGTTTGTTAAATTCTCAATCTAATTTCCTTAACATAACCTAGATAATGTTTAATTTGGATAAAGTGCACATCATTTTGGATGAGATGCTGTTAAACGGCTGCATCGTGGAAACTAACAGAGCAAGAATCCTTGCCCCTTTGCTGCTTCTTGACAAGATGTCAGAGAGCTGACGAAGACTGCCAAACAAAGTCTGAATGGTGTGGACGCCCAGGGAGACATCGAGAACCACACAGCCTTCCCACAATTCCCAAAGAGAAAACAAACAATTCTCTTAACCATAAGCATGCTTTTCCTTCTGCAGGAACAGCAGGGTTGTAGTGGAAAGGATGCGTGGCAGTTGTCCATCAGCCAATAAATTTCAAGTTGACTGCTTAAAGCCTCAAGTACTCTCTCGCCACTGTACTACACAGATAACCCTAGGCATCCCTCCGCCTTCCTTAACTGTGTGTGCGTCTGTGCACGCGCCAGTTTCTGAAGTTTTTGATATCCATTTTAAGGATACTTAGCAATCATGATACCATCATGTAATCATCTTTATGAACCTACTGTGAAATTATAGTTAAGTATTAGAAGAGCTCTAACAGCTATTTTTTTTTTGTTTTGTTTTGGTTTTTTTGTTTTACGAGACAGGGTTTCTCTGTATTGTTTTGGAGGCTCTCGGTCCAGCTTGGCTTCAAACTCACGGAGATCCGCCTGCCTCTGCCTCCCGAGTGCTGGGATTAAAGGTGTGCGCCACCAACGCCCGGCTCTAACAGCTATTTTGATGCCACATTTTATTATTATTTGGGGTTGTTGACAGAGGGTCTCATTGTAACCAGGAATGGCCCCAAAATTTTTATGTAGCTGGGGATGACCTTCAACTCCAAATCGTCTTGCCTCCACCTCCCAAGATCTGGGGTTACATGTTACATATCTGGTTATGTCATGTTTTAAAGTGCCTGGCTTCATACTAAGCTAAGAAAATTTACTTCAGTTCTAAAAAATAAAACCAAAGGCAATCAAAGACATCAGGCTGGTGCAAAATAAGCACTTCCTCTCATTCAAAAAATTTGCTTTTAAAATGAGCACACAGAAGTATCTGTTAGGAGTACAGAACACTTCGTCTTAAACAAAAGAAGGAGCACTTCAAGCCGGGCGTTGGTGATGTACACCCTTAATCCCAGCACTCGGGAGGCAAAGGCAGGCAGATCTCTGTGAGCTCTAGACCAGCCTGGTCTACCAAGCGAGTTCCAGGACAGGCTCCAAAAACCAAAAAAAAAAGGAGCACTTCACAACTTCCGTGTCATCCTTGCACGGGGCCAATGCTAATGTCTTATCATTCCAGTGTCAGTGTCTAACTCCACCTTCGGTGTCTCAGAAACCAACCAAGTAACTACAGAGAACCACACACACACACCAAAATCAGCCTTCTAAATGCTTCTGCCACGACAGAACATGCAGAGCCGGTGTACAAGGGCATGTCTGTGCACACAGGTGTGGGGGATGGGTAATGGAGGAAACAGACGGGGTGGCCCGTGCCGGGCTTCAGGAGCCCTCCCGCCAGTCTCGGTCCTCCATGCGGCACTGTGCTGCTCTCGTGGGGGTGGGGGGTGGGGGAGGAGGTGGTCCATTCCTGAAACTCTACAACGTATAAGGACCAGAGAACTAGTCATATTAGACTGCAAAAGCAAAACAGGTGTTCTCTCTTATTTGGGAAGGCTTCTGACCCATGGGAACAACACACAATGTATATATCAAGTCGTCAGGATCTGGGGAAAGCCCCACCTAGATCAAAGACCTTCGCTGTCTTGCTGAGAAGCAGCAGCAGGGAAACACTGTCCTAGTTGGTAGGCCCTTAATCAGTAGCATGTGGAGGGATCTCAGAAACTGGTGCATCAGAAGTAGCTAGGGAGTGAACAAAATTAACTTTTGGGTCACACTAAAATAGTAGATAAATTATGTCTTGGCACAGATTCTAGTGTCTTTAGAGAACACTAGAGTTTAAAAAATATTTAGGCCGGGCGTTGGTGGCGCACGCCTTTAATCCCAGCACTCGGGAGGCAGAGGCAGGCGGATCTCTGTGAGTTCGAGACCAGCCTGGACTACCAAGCGAGTTCCAGGACAGCCTCCAAAGCCACAGAGAAACCCTGTCTCGAAAAATCGAAAAACCAAAAAAAAAAAAAAAAAAAAAAAAAAATTTAGTAGATACCATAGGAAAACACACCACAGAGCATAACTGTATTTGGAGACCGTGGTGTATTGGAACACCCGACTCCAAGTGAGCAATGATCTGGCTTCGGTAGCATGCTATGCAACCACCTCCCTTTAGCTAAGTGCCTGCAGTGA